TGTTTCTGGGGACTGCTCTGTCAACAAGTCCATTGAGTAAGATAATATCATGATCAAATGGTTTTTCACTTAATACAATAGTTTCTGTAAAAAATATATATCCTAATTTTGAAATAATGATTTTTATACACTTCATGTCTTTTTTCAGTACATGAAGCAAACTTTTGTCAATTCTTCTGAAACAGGGGTTAGAGATATGCAGCAGGGCCCAAAATTTTAAATTCCAATCACTTTAACTCAATTGATCGATGCATTTTAAATATTGTGGTTAAAACTCAAAAAAAAAAAAAAAAAAAAAAAAAAAAAAAAAACTTTAATCTAAAAACTAACCTCATTCAGGATAAAGAGATTCATTTGAATATTACAAAGCTTTGATCAAGATCTAATAAACTGAAAGTCATGTCAGAGGGATATTTACTATTTTTATGTCAGATGGTACTAAACTACCTAAAATAAAACTATCTAGAAATCAAAGAAGACTTAGGGTGATCCTGGGATCATTAATATATATATATATATATATATATATATATATATATATATATATATATATATATATATATATATATATATATATATATATATATATATATATATATATATATACATATTAGATGAAAAAAGAAAGAAAATGGTAAAATTACAGGCCCTTTAAAAGATACACATTTTGTTGAAATCATATCTCCTATAATAGCTGTTCTACAAAATATGAAACAAAGGGTGAACACAGTTCATGAATCATCTCTATAATCAATCTCTGCAGAGCTGAGTAGTCGTCGAGCGGGACCATACGTTTGACAAATGCAAATTACTGTAGCATAATGGTATCCTAATGAGGATTTACTGTCATGCAGGATAAAATACATGCTTATTAACCCTGCAATTTCTATTGATGATGCATTTAAGCTTATGCATACGATTGTTGTATGCAATGTTGTTTCACTAAACATGGGACCATACATGTTAAGAAAGTTGCATCACTTGGTATATGGAATATCTCAGTTAACACAGGACCATATGTGTTAAGTTGTTGAAACATGTTGTATATGGAATATTTCTCTAAACACGGGGCCATACGTGTTTAGAAAGTACATGTTTTGTCCACGAAATGTTTTACTAAACACAGAACCATATACATGATGATGTTTAGTAAGTTACATCAAGTTGTAATAGATATTGGCTAAAGACAGGACCATATGTGTTTGAATAGTTAGATCATCTTGTATATGAAATGTTTCACTAAACACGGGACCATACGGGTTTAGAAAGTACATTGTGCATAGAATGTTTCACTAAACACGGGACCATACGTGTTAAGGAATTTATACCACTTTGTATATGTTATATGTCACTGAGCACGGGGCCATACGTGTTGAGGCAGTTTCATTACTTTAAATATACACAATATTTATTTATTTGAAATGTCTCTTGCTGACATCAGTTACCAATAGTATGTCAGATAAGCGTTATACCATATGTATGACATTATCTGCATTGTCAGATTCCACTTATTAGCTACATTACAACTTTTCCTTTCTTTCAAGCAGATCTATTTCATTTTTCATGTTTTTAGAGAAAACTAGCAATGTCTCTCTATATTAAAATAAGTTATTGTAATTCAAAGTTTGCTGTTCATTCTATCCAGGAAATAACATATTACCTGGTGTCTGAAAAGTGTTTACAAAACTTTTAACCATAAGAAAAGACCAGCTTGGATAAGATACAATATTTATAAATTTAAATTATGCAATAGGCTGAAAACACCTTGTGTAGCAGGGGCCAAACCAGAAGTTGTCTGTTGGTTCCTTATACGTATCCTCACAAATTCAAACCCTCAGTTTGGTAATCTGTTTTTCCTCTCGAGTGGTCAGAAGTTGTTTGCAATAAGAGGAACATTTTTATAAGTTTGAAATCTCGGTTGACTGGTCAGAAGTTGTCTGCAGTCATGAGACACATTTTATGCAGCATGGTGTATGTTTGACACCTTTGTTGACTGCTTCAGAAGTTAACTGTCTGCAGTCACGAGGCATATTTTTATGCAGCATGGTGTATGTTTAGCAACTTTGTTGACTGAAAAAAAGTTGCCTGCAGTTACGAGGCACTTTAATGTTGCTTGGTGTTTGTTTGATACATTTGTTGACTGGTCAGAAATTGTCTGCAGTCAAGAGGCACATTTTGATGCAGAATGGTTAAGTTTAACAACTTTGTTGACTGCAGCATGGTGTATGTTTGATACCTTTGTTGACTGGTCAGAAGTTGTCTGCAGTCAAGAGGCACATTTTGATGCAGAATGATGTAAGTTTAACAACTTTGTTGACTGGTCAGAAGTTGTCTGCAGTTGACAAGGTCAGTGTTCATGATTATAAATTCCCATTTTGCTCTCTGGTTAATATTTACTACAGACAGGTGTTTTGTATACTTTTTAAAATTATTTAATGTTTTGTCCTTTGTAATGTTTTCACTCAGTCTTATTGGATGTTTCTTTTTCTTGTTCACAATAACTATTGTATTGTCTTTTAAACTGAGTATATGTCGATTGTTTTTTAAAAAGATGTTTAAATGCTTTTTTATTGATCATCCTGTTGAGGAATTTTGCGTCTCCTGCCAAGACGCCTTTGGGTGGGTGGATCCAATCTCTGATTGGATTGTGGCTGTTTGTTATTTTGTTTTCCCACCTTTTTTGATGACAGGCAGCAGTTTAGAGGCATTTTGTATATGTCTTCCAAACTTATGATGTTTATAAGGGGGTCAACTTAAAATGCATGTATATTGTACCTTGTGAAAGATTAGAGGGTTTGAATTATTATTCTAGTCTGGTTGACCCCCCTTTTGCCTATGTACATCATGTTACAATGGCATTATGGTGCTGGGGGTCAGATTGTGTAATATTTTGACTAAGATGTGTAATACTCTATATTTGAGTCCTCCTTTTTCTGACCCCCATTTTGTTAACTTGTTTTACTTTTCCGTCATTTACTTTAATAAATGACATATTTCACTTCAGCATGATGTTATTTGTTTTTGCCTGTTTATCAAAAAACAAGCTCAGTCGTTTGGCAGGAGAACTAAGGAACATAAAATAGTAATTATTGCAAATAATTTCATTTATGTGACATGTTCTTGTTTTATTATGTTATTATATAACAGTGTCTGTATTGTACATAGCTTTATACTAAGCAGCTATTTGGTTCTTTTATTGAACTAATTTTACCCTTTTCCACGTGATCATTATTGATCCGTTTACCAAAAGAGAAAGCATGGTTTATTGAACTGCTGAATTTTTCGAACCCACCATCCACCCCTTCTTCCAACAATGCTTGTTATTTCTTTCAGGTTGATATTATTGTTGTTATGTTTTACCCATCCTTTTTGATAGTGTTTGAATGGGTTTAAAAGAGATTCATAGTACTTATTTCTACCGCACGTTCTAACTGAACAAGTAAACTTTTTGTACATTGTAATAAATGGCAAATCCATGTATTAGGTTACTGAGAATGAGTCCGACATTTATTTTGTGTACCTCGCAATTTTGCTTCGGTCTGCAGGTTTCCATATGATTTTTTAACATAAAGCAGTGTTGCTTTTCATATATGGTTTTTCCTCGGCGGTGATAGAAACATAGTTGTGTTCAATTTAATGCCTGCGCGATTGTATAGTTATTGGCTGTTTTTTTTTTTTTGTTTTCCCACCTTTTTTGATGACAGGCAGAAGTTTAGAGGCATTTTGTATATGTCTTCCAAACTTATGATGTTTATAAGGGGGTCAACTTAAAATGCATGTATATTGTACCTTGTGAAAGATTACAGGGTTTGAATTATTATTCTAGTCTGGTTGACCCCCCTTTTGCCTATGTACATCATGTTACAATGGCATTATGGTGCTGGGGGTCAGATTGTGTAATATTTTGACTAAGATGTGTAATACTCTATATTTGAGTCCTCCTTTTTCTGACCCCCATTTTGTTAACTTGTTTTACTTTTCCGTCATTTACTTTAATAAATGACATATTTCACTTCAGCATGATGTTATTTGTTTTTGCCTGTTTATCAAAAAACAAGCTCAGTCGTTTGGCAGGAGAACTAAGGAACATAAATTAAAATAGAGTAATCTAAAGATTGAAATCCGTTTTTTTAAAAATCAAATCAATCTTAACCAGAACCTGACATAAAAAATAAAGTCATTTGTTGCACGAATAAGAACTGTATATAAACGGAGTAATGACAATCAGAATCATTTCTATGAAATAAAAGAATAAGTTAAAATATCTTTATTTCTAAGAGAAACAAGAAAACCAAATTAAAAAATATATAAAATTGAGAAAAAAAATTAGAATTACCATACGAATATATCCTAAATATTGTACATCCACCAAAAACCACCACAGAAAATCTAAAATGCATCTCGTTTTCTTCTACGCCTTCCAAAATATAAAAGCGATCACTTCTGAATGGGAATTTAAAGCATAATTTTCTTGCGACATTCACTCATAAAAATGAAGGAAAACGGAAGTGTAATTCTCAGTGATTATCGTAAATTATCTTGAGAGTCAGATATCTATACAATTATAAGCAATGAAAATGTGATTTATTAACACATGTTCATTGTCAACTGTTTAACAAATAAGGATAAACATCTAGTTGCAAAAGACCATTTGGGCGATAAAAATCTTCCCTGTAGTAGACTTTTTCAATCACATTCACTCTATAAACTTTCAACTCAAAAAATTCTCGCTATGAGGTACAAAAAAAATTAATTTATTTTGTATTGTAGTGACAGAGAGCTGAGATATACATATACATATGACAATTTTGTGTCGCTTTTCGTACGATGTCATTTTCTGATTCGGACGGAAAACAACCATGTCTATACTGTGCTGTGTTTCATTACTTCTTATAATATCTATTTAAATGTTCTTGACAAAGTATTTGAGTTACCTGGGTACGTGGCACTGTGTTTAGAGCATCTGCTCTAGAGTCGCGGAATAAGGAACTGATCCTTACGTCACAGGTTCGAATCCCACTCTGGGACGTCGAGACCGGTCCTTCGGATGAGGCCGTAGAAACCGAGGCCCCATGTTGCAGTAGGTGTTAGCACAAAAAGATCCCCCCTGCTCAATGGCTATCGCTATAACTAGTGCAATCGCTGGTATTAATTTGCAGTACTCCAGCGGCAAGTGGTGGCGTCTCCTAATGAGAGAAATTTCTAGAAAGGAACGTTATAAACAATAAACAAAAACAAACGAACAATCAAAGGAAGCATTTTATAAATTGTCTTGATGCAGAAAGTAATAATTAATAAACATTTAGAATAGATATTGACTTTTTGCGTATGGCGAAAAAGTTTCATAATACTTAGAAGTAAACACTATACAATCAATGAATGTCACGAACAGCCAAGCCACTAAACATTTGCATTGTTCCATATATCATGGAAGACATATATCTTCCATATCAGTCGCATTGGTATGGAAGATTCCTCAAGTAGTTTTGATTAAAAGTTGTTCAAATTAAGACGCCGAGTAGTTCTGGATCACATAATTATACATGTTTATGGAAACTGATGTCATGTTTGAGTTCTTATTCGAATATGAATTATCATTATTAGGATATTTGTTTTTAAACGAGTGATGAAGAATTTTGATAAAAAAAATCTTTTCTACACTGATTTTGCTCGGCCAGGTCATAAACTTTTCAGGTCAGTACACCTTCAAAAACTAGCACTGTTCCATATAATTCTAAGTACTTGCTAATGTACTTGTATTTCTGTGTGCTTGAAATAATGTACATGTGGTTTATTTCTCATAAATAACCAGATAATTTTTCATCAGTTGAAATGTACACTGAAGTGAATATAAATTACATATGATCTAGATTCAAAGATTTTTTTCTTGTAGTTACACAATTAAGCCCTAGTAGGCTCTCTTAAAATTATAAAAGACATACTGCGTTTTGATGTGTGCGTTTCCTGTTCTTCAGTAGCATTTAGTACATAATGCAAGAGAATTCATAATTCCACATAACTTCCTGTTTAGCAATGATATATTAGTTGAGGAACAGGAATACAAAATAATATATTATAATACTTTTAAAAACTTCCTGGTGTTCGAAAAATTGTTTCCAATATGTGATATTGAAATATATATTTGGCTTACACTTGACTTTCATCAAAGGAAAAGTAGTAAGTATATCCTGAAATAAATACTATGCGTTTTTTTTTACCTTTAATTTAAAAAAAAAAGTACAGAAGCGAAGAAGTCAATACCTTTCAAATATCTTTAATCATCATCCATCGTTATACATATAAACAGATTAGTTAATTAGCTTGACCTAGGGTTTATTTAAAGTTCTGAATAAAATTGAAACTTTATCTGCAACATTTCTTTTTTGTGTGTAATTTTACAAAATGAGAATTACAAAACGGATCTATGAAAATAGATATTTAAAGGGTTATCTTAAAATAAATGCACATAACGAACCTTGCCTTGTATTTTGTTTATTTAAGGTAAGAAAGAGTAGGCCTCTTGTGAGGATTTTTAAAGTTTACTTTTTCAGCTACTCCAACATCTTGTAAACATGGTTTTACTTTTTTTTTTACATCATGATTCGAACAATCTTGGACCTTATGCACAACGCCTCCAAATTGTATCGTACCCTACACTTGACAATCTTCGTCCTCATTCACGAAGTCTCCGTAAATACTGCAAATATACCAGGAAAAGGGATAACGTTCTTGCTAAATCGGCGAGAATTCTTTCCAAGACGTCATGACTATCCGTGAACGTAGCCGATATACAATGTAGCATATGATATTGATCCAATGAATAAAAAAAAAAGAATTATAATTCTAACTCAAATAAGTTATGCCAAAATAAAATGTTAAAGTTTACCTATTCCGTAGGTTTTATCTACAGAAAAAAAGATTTAGATGATGTGGTAAAATCAACTTCAGTTATTTTATTTTAAAATGCTGAGATGCGACATTTTCCAAAGGGTATAGGAGGCAAAATATACGTAAATAGGAAACATGAAGCATGAAAATATTTTTAAAAATCTTGCAAGAAACAAATAATATTAAAACCTAGGGATAAGAATGGTTCCCCTTTTAAGATCCTCGAGAATAAAATTTGAAATTTCGAGCAATCTCCTTTTTTGAGTGGCTCGTCGGGTATTGTCTATTTTTACTACCTCCTTCGTTTCTTTCACAACTGATTCTAAGTGTCTTAAATTTTCTTTCCTCATAGCATCTGAAATAAAATTAACAAGAGGTCAATGGGCCACATTCCTCACCTGACACACAAATGAGCTCAGTATTGAAAAGTTTACTTGTTGGTTGAGTGGGGATTTTAATATTTTATTACTTGAGAATGTCACTTTATCAATAAAGCATTCAGGTATAATTTCGCCATACTCAAGAAGAGGAGTTTTAAAGATTTTTCCAATATATTTCTATGTAAAGATATAATTGCCCATCATAGCCCCACCTTATCCCAGGGGTCATGAT